TGTAACATATTAACATTTTCATTAAAAATTTTTATTTTATAATATATTTGCGAGAATGGCATTCATTTTGATTTCTTTTAACTTAGTCTCCCAATTTGCACAAATAAATTTTGAATTTTGGCAAAACACAATATCATACTGCTATGTAGGTCTTCATACCAGATTTACTTGAAATATATAAAGGAAAGTAAAGCATTTGCAAGTTTTGTGTCTATTGCTAACAAAAGTTTCGAATATGGTCGCGTTAAATGTATGGAAATAGGTACAAGGACATGATCTCGAAATTATCTTCTGATTCAGCGCCATAAGTTAGGGCTGAAAAACTAATTCTTGGGTATTAGTTGTCCTAAAGATAAAACTTATTTTTCCTCAAGCTAAAAATTAAGTTCTGCATCATAATCATTACCCAAGCATTAGTTCACAATATATGGGGGTCACAAAATGTCAATAACATATTATGTGTATCCACTTGGCCTTAAAAGACTTCGAAGCATAAAATGGTTATAAAATTCAGTGAATCTTACCAATTCATGTACTCAATAGTAAGAACTTTTAATAATCTTCCACCGTAAAAAGAAAAACAGCACAATACCATTATTGACCCTCCTCCATGATTCCCAGTACCCTTGCAATACTTTTGCACGAGCCTTTCACTTTTGGACTTTCACACGGTAATTTGTTTCATATCTGAGTGTTTAACATTAAACTTTAATTTATCCGAGAGCGTGTTTCTCCACTGAGTCGGATTCCAATTAATATGAGCTTTTGCGAAAGGCAATCTGGCTTTCCGATTCTTTTCAGAAACAAAATAACTTTCTAATAGTCTCCACCATGTAAGCTTGCTACCATAGCTCGTCCACGTTCTGTTCCTGAAGTTATATCCAACGATATAACATCAATTCAGTTGAGCTCTTAAATTGGTATTTTTTTTCCAGGCTTCTTCCTGGCTGAAGTGTCACACGGATATAGCATAAAATCAACTTATAGTTCGAGAAATCACTGGTAATTAGATGTTTTAACGGGGTACTGTATTTGTTTCTAGCCATTTTTATGTTTATCTGGCAGTGTGTCAAAATTGAAAACCAGAAACATTGTATTGTAATACAATCCATTTAAATCAAAATCATGAAAATCGGTGTACAAACCAAAACAAGTAATCATATCGGTAAAAATAACTAAAATTTTACAGTTCATTTGTTTGTTTTGTAGAGTTGCTTTAATTTTGGCTAAGCAAAAATTGAGACTATTTCCTTATCCATAAATTATTATTTAATTCATCACGAATTTTGAATTTGAAGGAATTTTTTTTTATTGAATAAAGTACCCTATTTTGATGAGTTACAAACGTAATAATATGCCTTTCATACTATTGTGGAGTGTATGAAAACCATAATATATATTCGGGTAATTCGAACACTATTATAGAACTCGAATGTGCTTTACCCACTCATTCAGCCTTATTCTGGATATTTGCTAGGGAGATATCTCGCATGTAAAAAATTTTCGCTTTCACATTCTCGCCTTATTCTGAATGAATAGGGAGATGCAGAAAATGCAAGATGCGGATTCGAGTTTTCGAAAATTGTTGTTTGCAAAAAAGATTCGTGTTGACATATTGTAATTTAAGCTGTAATGTGTGTTACCATATTGTAATTTAAGTTGCAATGTGTGTTGCCCCATTGTAATTTAATTGTGTAATATTTTTCAATCTTTTATTTATTGATTTTTTTATTTAAAATTGTTATTTTTTATTGTTATTTAAACTTTATAACAATACAAATGTGAAATATCAAGAATCCGCTGCATAAATGCTTTGTAATTAAAAGAAAATAAATTAATGTTTGAAAATATGGCAACCTACAATGTGACATGCGAAACAGCTGTTCATTGTTTTGGTAAAATTTGTTGCAACAACTACAATAGATTACAAATAAAAGAACATTTTTTATGATGGCAAAAACACAACGAATAATAAGAAGAAATCTGCGATTGAATTAATTCACAGTTTATTATTTTAATACATAATTTTGTGCCTTTTTATTTAATTCCTATATTTTATCTCCCCAAATTCTTAAAATGGGCAGTTATGTTATGATTTGCTCCTACTCCTTTATTTTTTCCTTCAAATCATGTAAAAGATAATTTTGAAAAAAATAGCCTTATTATTTTTGTTCTTTCATATTTTTTTTTAAGCTTTTTACTGTTGTGAGACAGATCCTCACCCAAAATGTCTGAATTTCGCCTCAAAAATGCATCAAACTCAATAGGATTTCCAATGGCATTTTATTTGTTGTTTTCCAGTTAAAATTTTGCATAATATCATATATAAAATTCTAAATCGTCATGGAATAAGTATTGTGTAAATATTTTTCATAAAAATATTTATTACTTATGTTTTTGTTGTCAGCTCCCTTTGAATTTATTAGCGAAAAATTTCGCTCAAAATTTCATCTCATTCTCCTACTCCCTGTAATCCAGAATACCTAATTTTTCCCCAAAGCGGATTTTTTCACTTTCGAACTTCATTCAGAATAAGGCGAAAGCGAGAATACGAAAAAATTCACCGGAAAATGTTGTTCAGAATAAGTCGAAGGGGAAGAGCGAATAAATTCACGTGGAATTGACATCCAGAATAAGGCTGATTGTATAAATCATGTTCGTAGACAAACTCGTCACAGTTGTTCAAACTTTGTGAGTTACAACATACATTCATACCGAATTCAACATAATCACCCCTATTCCGTATGTCGTCGTCTTTGTCGACGACGTTTCTCTTTCGACATCACTTCGCATCGACATCGGCATCAATTCGTCACTGATTTGGTATTCTGTAACACCATGGCCTATACATAAGGTCACCAAGCGAGACCAGCTGATTATCGATACCTCTCAAGTTTGCTGTCAAAATACATTATTGTGAATTGTCTTCCATTATGAAAACGTAAACAAAGTCGACATTTTTGACATTAGACTTGAGAAAAAACAGCTGTTTTCCGATTTTGATTGCTATCTTGGTGACCTTATTAATAGATCCATGGCCTATAAATAAGGTCACCAAGGGAGACCAGCTGATTATCGATACCTCTCAAGTTTGCTGTCAAAATGCATTATTGTGAATAGACTTCCATTATGAAAACGTAAACAAAGTCGAAATTTTTGACATTAGACTTGAGAAAAAACAGCTGTTTTCCGATATCGATTGCTATCTTGGTGACCATGGCCTATACATAAGGTCACCAAGGGAGACCAGCTGATTATCGATACCTCTCAAGTTTGCTGTCAAAATACATTATTGTGAATTGTCTTCCATTATGAAAACGTAAACAAAGTCGACATTTTTGACATTAGACTTGAGAAAAAACAGCTGTTTTCCGATTTCGATTGCTATCTTGGTGACCTTATTAATAGATCTTGTTGGTGACCTTATTTATAGGCCATGAATAGATCTTGTGTAACACTCATGCGACGATGTCGACTATTTATCGATAATATCAATAAAAACAAAAAATTTGTTACATATTTTTGGGCAAAAATGCTTTTGTATCCTTCACCGTACTATGTCACAGGGCATTATGTCTTGGTAAATGTGTTTGCAAGGACCAAAAAGAAACGAGATAGACCCATAGTTACTTTTTAGTAGTATGTACATAGAATTATTTTTCAGTCGATTTATTCATGTCCCTCCATTCATGTGTTATTTTTAACAAGTTACATGCCACCATTATGATCCGAACGGGATGAAATTTGGAAAAAATCCATCCAATTGGGATGAAATTTTATTTCCACATAGACGACTCCTATTGACATTGGTCAAAATCGGTTTAGATCTATATATAGATCCCATATATGTTTATTTACACTTTATTTTGCATTAAGTATTGAATAGATTCTAGAATGATGTTCTTGTCCGGTCATGTTTTTTTTTTCTTAATTTCAAAAAAAAATATGTTCAAACGCTTCAGTCGTCAACAAAAACTATGACGAAGAAATCTTCGACATCGTCGTCGTCACACATTGTTACGGAATACCAAAAATGTTTCAATAGTTATCGATAAATGTCGACAACGACATAGGGAATGCCAATTTGCAAATGACGACTCTCTTCGACGTCGTTTCGTGTCGACGACGACATACAGAATAGGGGTGAATGAATACCGTGTTCGTCGAGTCTGAAACGTGGATTGTATGAATCAAACAAATACAACGAATTCGAAACTCTCATACATGAAGCAATTCACTCATTGCATTTCATTTCAAACAAAATTTATAGAATAAAAACCATTACTTTGTGTGACTCATGGGTGGTGTTTTTGTCAATTTATGCAGATGTCTACTTCTGAGGGGAAGTGTATGTGTGAAGTATAAAAAAAATACCGTGTTTTCCGGAACATACCCGATATTTATATTTTTAAATGATTAGTATAACTTAATATAAAACTGACTTTTGAAGTAGATTCTGTAGCTAGTTTTCTATTTTCAAATCACATCATAATATTCGGCAGGTGTGGGAACATTCTAAGAGAATATAAGAGACAACTCGAAATATTTCTTCATACAAAGGAGGCTATACTTAACCGTCGCCCTTCTGGGAGATGACTGTGGGTTACCTATCTACGTCTGAGAAAATTGAGCAAGTAATCTCTACTCAATCAGAAATTTTGAGGAGGCCTCTGGATGAAATGAGATCCGGGTACCGTCTACTAGTGAAAAGGAAGACATTGGCGTATCCACACCGAGATGCAATCATTGATCGAGCTGCTCTGGACGGGTGCTCAAGCGAAGCTAATAGGTTGTCAGCGATTGTTTATCAGAACCTTGACAACAAAAATATATAATAACATCCACATACAAGTGGAAATGAAACAAAGATTGGGAATATGATTTAATAGGTTAGTTTGTCATTTTTACAAAATTAAATACAGATCTAGAAAACTGTACAGAACTTGTTTTTATTAAAAAATATATAATAAAGGGAATCTTACAAAATGAAAATCCAAAAATTCAGTAATGTATTTCTTTTTAGAATTTATATATAATTTGTTTCCATAATAGCATATTACTTGCTAACATTTCCTTCTTCAATACATGAATTATTAAGATCATTATTACTAGATTCTCCGGAATTAACGGCAACATTGGCCACGTATAGAGCAGGGTCAATGACTTTAGGTATGGGTTTGATTTCAGTTCCAAGTTCTTTTTCTATTCGGTGTAGGTCAAACCTATCCTCATACGTTATTAAATTGATAGCAATACCTATATGTGTATTAAAGAATTCACATTAGTATTTAATATATATTGATATTAGCAGTATATATAAACCTACCTAAATGTCCAAAGCGTCCAGATCGACCAATTCGGTGCAAATATGTTTCAGCCATACGAGGGAAATCAAAATTAATAACAACATTAACTGCTTGTACATCTATACCACGTGTGAATAAATCCGAACATACAAGGTTGCGACACAATCCTTGTCGGAAATCATGAAAAACTCGATTTCTGTGCGCCTGTGCCATTTTTGCGTGAATGTAATAACAGCAATAGCCGAGTTCCGTAATTTTCTTTGCTAAAAGCTCCACACGTTGTGTAGAGTTGCAAAATATTATTGACTGATTTATTTGGAGTTTGGAGAACAACGTGTTTAGACAATGTACTTTTTGGCGTTCTTGAACGAATGCGTAATATTGAGTAACACCCTTTAATGTAAGTTCCTCCATCAAATTTATTTCGTAAGGTTCGCGTAAATGTTTCTCCATAAAATTCTTAACAGTTAGTGGAAAAGTTGCCGAAAACAAAAGAATTTGAGGATCCTTCGGTAATTTTAAAATAACATGATCCAGCATGCCTTGAAAATCGAGCGATAATAGTTTGTCGGCTTCATCCAGAACAAGAATTTTGCAATGCGACATATCAGCAACTCTTTTATCCATTAAATCGAGAATTCGTCCTGGTGTAGCGATAATAAGTTGAACTAAAACAAGAATGTGCAAAAAGGATATTTTATATTAATTAAAAAAATATTTAGAATACATAGTTCGAGTTCAAAAGTTCGGATAACACAAATATCCAAAATTATTAAATAATGGTTATACATATATGCTTACCCTTTTGATACAAACGAAGTATATCATCCTTAAGAATTGTTCCTCCAGTGGTGACCATAACTCGAATATCAAGATGTTTAGCCAACTCAATACAAATTTGTGAAGTTTGCAAAGCAAGTTCTCGGGTGGGAACCATAATTAAGGCCTGTATATAATCCTTCGAGGGATCAATTTGCTCCAAAACTGGAATACAGTATGCGCCTGTTTTCCCAGTGCCATTCTTAGCTCTGGCCAAAATATCTTTTCCACTTAACGCTATTGGAATTGCTGCTTCCTGAATAGGAGAGGGTCGCTCCCAACCCTTTTCGAAAATGCCCATCAAAAGTTTTCTTTTTAAACAAAATTCTTCGAATTCATTTCCACGAGTGTCAGTAACATCCTAAAAATAAAAATATTTAATTAATACAAAATATTTAATTAATTTGTACTATTAATTCGTGTTTTATATACATTTTAACTCTTAATATAAAAGAGTTCCCAGTAATACTACAATAATGTACTTACGCTAGTCTTAAAACGGTTGTCTTTTGGTGGTATTTTTAGCTTCGATTTCCAACCCATATCGTCGCCAATGTTCGTGACTTTGTTTAGATTGCTGCAATCGAAAGAAAAATAATATACATGAAGAATTTATTGTTAGGTATACATAGATCATAATTTCTACAGCTTATAAATAAATATATTTGTATTTAATAGTTGATATACAAAACATATTGTAGTATTTTTTTTTATTCGTTATATTTCACTATTCCAAAGTCCGAGACATATATCGACGCCTCCGAACCATAGTATGCTAAGTCGACTTAGCATGTTTTAAAGTTCTTTACGTTTTTTGATAGTACGGTCCTTAATTTAAAATTACTGAAATTTTGGTAATCATCGGCCAATCCAAACCAAAGTTATAAGCAAAAATGTACTTAGCATGGCACGTAAGATTAAAGAAACGTCCATACTTTGAAAGCTTCTACTGAAAAACTCACTTTTCAGACTTAGCATACTATTCTTCGGAGGCGTCGATATATATTTGGTTAGATGAACATTAAAAATACTTTTCACGAATTTCCCAAAGGATAAGAAGTTATCTACCGACGCTCTCATGTCGGAGCATAAATTTGTCAATTTTGTCTGTGTCTTGCACCAACAATTTTGTTAATGTCGGTGGAAAATTATTAACAAAAAATAATAAAAAAACGTTATGAAAATAAACATCCAAAAGATGTTGTTATTATGGAAGTTGTCGACGTATGAGTTGTCCGATCTTTACACTTTTATGTCTTCTTTCGGATAATGCATACTGTAGTGGCTGTACATTACCCGTTCGTTTGCTATCGATTACATTTTCCCACTTAAGTTATGTTTCTCTTATATTTTTGTTCTCTTTTGAGAAAAGTAAACAGACAACATCCTGTAAGATTTTACAAAATATTCCGTAATTTCAATTAAAAAATTATTTGAAATTTACTTTTTTAAATAAAATTATTTTTTTACTTTGGTTAAAATTTAAAAGTGGCGGCCTTTTGTGGTGGATAAATCTAAATAGAAGAAATTTTCCCAGTAACATTCAGTAAGTTTTCAGCATATAGGTCCTCTCTTTTACTGGGCTTTGGAGTAAACAGACAACACCCCGTAACATTTGATAACAATTGTTACCAAATATCGAGTAACCAGAAGCATCTTATGTTACTGAGTATTTGCAAATTATTACTGGGAAAATTTACCCAGTTAAGATTTTCCAGTAACATCAGGTGATATTTTATCATCTGTTTTTTTACAATTTGTAAACGAACAAAACAATTTGTTTACAAGCAACTTGATTATTGGTAAAGTCTGTTTTAATTGGTATCTTTAAATATTAAAATGAGCAAAAAAGGCAAGTACAAAAAATACAAATTACATATTGTCTCCTGCTATTCATGTTTCTATCAAAAATTACGTATTTTTGTTGTTGTTGTAATAAGCTGTATCGATACAACTGTTTTACAGGACGGTGTTCGTAAACTTTTTGCAATGTTCTCTCTTTTTCGATTTTACTCTTAGTAAATTCATACTGAGTAAATGTTACTGGAAAGCCCAACGAACATAACTACATAAAGCAATAGGGCTGCTACAACAACAACAACATTTTGTAATTTAATTAAAATTATGTACACTCATTGCAACTACTTCTATTATGTTTGGTATGGCAAATCAATCAAAAATCCCTTTAAAGGGCTACACTTTGATACAAATATACAAACGATGACTTACATAAACACCATAAAAATTTAGTTTACATGCGATTAATGTCAGTGAGACACATTTACGCCAACGTTCTGTAATCACGACAGACTCGCTTAACCTTTCGCTCAAGTTGTCTTGTATGAACAATACGACATTTGTGTGAACATTTCGTCAACGATTTTACTTTGTGGTATCCAAAGTGTCTTCAAGGGATTGCCATTGTCTTACAGAAATGTGTTCAAAATGTATAGTATTTATCGAAACAAAAATTAATCGGCCATGAAGATAACGACCTAAATCACACTACCAACGTGAGGGATTGGTTGGAATATGCTTCATAACATCTTAAACCCACTATACATTCACCGGATATGAATATATTGAGCACATGTGGTTGTATTTGGGTCGATATAATAAAACTAAATATTAGTAACTTTGCAAATCTAAAAACTGAAACTGATAGGCATCCGCATTCTTGGTTAGGGTTACATACAGCTTTGCAAAAAGTGGAAAATAGAGGTCCATGTTTTCCGTAGCACCCACATTAAGAGCCTTCCCAGTTTAGGTATTTTGAATGTCTTATCCCTATTTCCATTTTTAACTATGGATACAATATAGTACCACGGCTTCCATACAAAGGTTCCGCACTCCAACATTGAAAATCTTTACTTTTTACAGCAGGCAGATTGAGTAAATTAAATACGAGAGTATATTTAATAAAGAACTATTTCAAATTTTAGAGTACCCAATTTTCCTATTGGGTCATTTTCAAATCTTATTTTATGCAGCCTGAGTATATAAAAAATCTAAGCTGTGCGCTATAGACTTATACCATAGACAGACGACAGCCTTAATTTGCATTAAAAATTCGTTAATTTGAATTAATATTTACCCCTGACAGACGAGCGTTTCTGCATTTTCGAAACAGTTTTTTGCTTCAAAACAATTGTTTGTATGTGTGTATGTAGGATGAACATTTTTTACATTTGTTTCGAAATTTTTCTTTAGGAAGTAGATACATGACATAAAGGAGGAATAGCAACTATGATCTCAGCAAAACAGCCCCCTGTTTAAAAAATGGTTGAAATTTGCCTTCATTTCTTATTTCTATTTTCATAAATATAAATAAATTTGACAAGAAACAATTAATTTTCGACAGCATTGCCATATCGAAATTGCCTAATTCAGTATAAATTCTGTTTGATTTTGTGCATTAACAACACATAAAAATGAGTATAATGTACAAGTTAATTTGAATTAAGGCTGTTAATGCAAATTTAGGCTGTCGTCTGTCTAGGCTATTATACTGGCCAACATAGCCATTTTGTTTCGACTGATTTTTTTCGGTAATATTTATTTTGTTCTACTCAAACAACTGATTTGATAAATACAGATGTCATTATAAATTGCCCTTTAAGCGAATTTATAACATTTGAATTCTTATATCGAATTTATGTTTATTTTTATAAATATTTGTTGATCTATAGTTATTGTAACAATTTCTGCGCCATTCGCATCTTTATTTTTTATACAAAGGCAGGCTTTCTTATTTTAGGTATAGTCGTGATATCGTAAAAAAATTATATTACATTTAAATTTAAATTTGTATTTTTGTCTTCTGAAAAGGGTTCATCAGACTTAATTTGCTAACACGAAGTTGTCTTTGTATATATTTTTTAATATCAGCGACATTTGGTGAAGACACATCCTCCCACAATTTTGCAAAGCTTCTGATATCAAATATTAGCGGCAGCTCTTGGAGTATTTGAGAGAAAGATTCTCCGAAAGATCTACGGGCCGATCTGCGTCGTCGGTGATTATCGGCGTCGAATGAACCATGAGTTGTACCAAATATAAAAGCGAGTCAACTGATGGTTCACGCAGAAGGGGAAGGCCACGAATTCGATGGAAAGATCAAGTGGAGGATAAGTGATGTGTTTAGACTAATTAAGATCGGTACGTACTAGCAAGAATTTCAACTGTGCACTGGATTCATTGTAATTGACACAGTCATTTTAAAAGAACACCAACAATGGCAATACCGCTGCACGAAAACAACCGTTATATAAGTGAATTTCCATAAATTATAACATTTTATGGTTCTATCTAAATTCTATTCAAAATAGTTATTTATTAAAAAAATATTTAAGTTTAAAAATTAAATTTAAGAGTTGAAAGAAAAAAACATCTGGCGTTATCTGGGTTAAAAACAAATAAAAATAAAATTAACGAAGAGCCTCCAGTTACAAACCAAAAAATATCAAAGGCAATACTTTTAAAAGAAAATCTAGAAGGAAAACATTAAATTAATTTATTCATTGTATAATTTTAATTCATTTCCGAAAGATTAACAAATAATGCGGCAATAATGTTTTGTTTTAATTATTTTTATTTTTGTCATAGTAAATCTAATATAACAATTAATAACTTCTTACAGACGTTTGTATTTCATAATTTTACCGTTGTTATAATTTTTTATACAATTTAATTTAAAATATATAAAAGTATGTTTTGATCATACAGGTGGTAAGATCGTATAGAAATTTATTATAGAATAAAAACTCACTCGATATCACCTGTCATAATTTGCCCCCAGCGTTCGCTTATCCGGATGTTTTACTTATTATATTTATTAATCAATATAAGGGATACAAATTGATGTAGACGTACAAATATTAATTTATTTTAAGAATTTTTGTTTTTTACTAATTCTAGAAATTTCTGGTACATTTGGACCTTTATTTTCTATATTAAGGGTGATTTTCCCAATGTTAGGTGTACTATACAATGTTTGCCAATTTTTATGTTTTGTCACGACAACAGCTATTTAAGGGTCCCATACACTATACATCATGCCGTACAGCATTTATCATAGTATTTGTTATTTTTTGAAAGTTTATATATGTATGTGTGACATACACAATGCATGAACAAAATCAAAATAGTTTTGATTTTGAAAATGAACCCCTATCAATCTGGTGAATAATATTCATTTTGAAAGTTGTCAGTAAATAATTTTGTGTACAAAAATAATAAAATTGTGACGGAATAAAAAAACAACTGAATTTACGACTCAAAATGCAATTTTTGGGACAAAAATCGATTTTTTGGAATATTGATTGAAGAGTTTGCCATACACTAGTCAATGTCACATATACAAAAAGGGGTTCATCGACATGACGGCATGATTTACAGTGTATGGGGCCCTTTATGGAAAAATTTCATGCAATATTTTCCTATCTTCACACTTAATCTATATAGTAAATTATCTAAGTGTTTTGAAATACATTTTTTAAACATACTTCAAACGGATCGAGGTCTGACCAAAAACTTTTTTGCCACAGTTCATGTTTTAATTATGTGACCACCACTGTATATGTGAAATAAAAAATGTGTCAATTTCATATTTAGACTTGTACCTAATATTCGCGTATGCGTACGAAAATATACACCTCACATATTTTAGGGTTTGTTGAACTTCCATATTATTCCAGAAAAAAAGGAAAATTAATTTTTAATATTAGAGGGGAATAAAATCGTTCATAGCAAAACCATTTTCAACCGTTTTCAGCGTTTTGTTTTAGTTACACAAAAATATGGCAATAGCTCAATAGAATGTTTCATACATTAGTCGTTTATTTTGAAAGTGATTTATTTTTAAAGGTTTGTGTTTGAATTGTTTTAATTTGTTTTTTATAAAATTTACGACAGTTATTGACATTTCGTACATTTTAATATTTTTTAATATATCAAATCGAAACTAATTTTACCATTGGTCTGTTTCCGTACTGCAAGAATCGTAGTAAAAAGTAGTAGATTCTAGTAATACGGGAACATACCACATGTGTCTTGTTGTAAAACTTCGTCAGAATGTATTTATATATTTCTTTCGTTTGTTAAATGTAATATGTAAATGTAAGAAAACCAAAAATATTATGTTTTGAGTAAAAATATAAAATATTTGGATATTTAACTTTTTCTCCAATTTTGTGCAGTTCGCTTGAAGGTGTGATTTCGAAGTGTTTTGTTAATACGGCAGTATGAAACATTTTCCATTATAGAAAAGTTGAATATTTTTGGGTGTAAGGTCGGATTATAGGTAAATTAATTTTAAAAATTTTACATAATGTCGTTTTGATAATTTATTGTTTGACAAACTGAAAACTCTTTTACTTCCTCAAAAGAAGTTACTTAGTAAATATTACTGGAAATGTACGCAAACAAACCTATTGATGATTAGCTGAGTTTTGGAAGTCACATAAATTCTTACATCCCCAGTCTTTATTTCACAGATTTATTTTTCCATTTTTTAGAAATTTGTCTTACAGCCTGTTTATGTATTTCGAAAGAAAGGTTTCTTTCGCTTTCAATGCGAAAGAAAATCAATTTTGGTTTATATAAAATCTTTTTACAGGCAAAAGAAGTCGAACGATAAGCAACTCAAAAGAACCCGTAAAGTATACTTTTTCTCTAAAAATTGGGTTTATGTATGACGAAAAAACTGTCCTCATTCGAACGAGAATGTCAAATTCACTCACTTGCTTTATAGCTATCGAATCAATTGCAAAATCGCGAACTATGTACCAAAATTTCAAGGACTTTCACACAACACAGTCTCTAAACAAAATAAAAATTTTTGGAACATGTTTTATAGGTATCGTTTGGGTTTTTTATTCATGTTTTTGTAAAATAAAATTGTACACAATTCTCACAAATACTGAAAAATTCCATTTGACATTTTTTTTTAAATTCAACAGCCTGTTTATGTATTTCGAAAATTTCCATTTCAATGCGAAAGAAAATCAATTTTTTTATATAAAAACTTTTTACAGGCAAAAGAAGTGTAAGTGAAAGAACCCGTAAACGTATACTTTTTCTCTAAAAATTTGGTTTATGTATGACGTTTCATTCGAACGAGAATTCAAATTCACTCACTTGCTTTATATTCTCGCAAATATTGAAAATTTCCATTTGACATTTTTTTATATTCAAATGTGTGATTGTATTTGTGTAGTTTGTACTCATTTCCCATTTGACTCTCATTTATTGAACATTGTTGTAAAACTTTACATTTAATTTAGTAGTTTTTCGAATGGTATACGTAACGGCAAACGAACGATAGCTTTCGAAATACATGAACGCTTTTTTTAAACGATAGTGAGTGAGTTACATTCTTTCGCATTGATTTTCGTTCGAAATAGAAAAACAGGCTGCAAATGTGTGATTGTATTTGTGTAGTTTGTTCTCATTTCCCATTTGACTCTCATTTATTAAACATTGTTGTAAAACTTTACATTTAATTTAGTAGTTTTTCGAATTGTATACGTAACGGCAAACGAACGATAGCTTTCGAAATACATGAACGCTTTTTTAAACGAAAGTGAGTGAGTTACTTTCTTTCGCATTGATTTTCGTTCGAAATAAAAAAAAAGCTGTTAAGCTTTGGTCTTGTCGGAGTTTCTTTACTGTTACTGCTACCTACCTTTTTTAAGTTCATTAAACCCAAAATCCACAATGGAATTCTTGCTTTTGCACGCCTACTAGGCGAAATCAACTCAAAATGTTTATTTTACACCGTTATACAAATTGTTCGTTTATAGTTCGGTAGTTTATATTAGATACACTTTATATAAAAGTCTTGTTCGTCATCTTGAATGTTTGCCACATTATTTAATGTTGCACTTTTTTATGGTTTATTTATTGGTTTAATTATAAACATATTTGTATGGTTTAATATAAACATAAATAATAATCTTAGATATTGCCCTAGTTCAACATGTCCAACTTTTGGATTAGTAATTTATTTATGTAAACATAATAAAAGGAAAAGTATAACATTCATTTTTTTCAAGTTTATATCTCATTAAGATACAGATGTTTTAAGAGAAAATGACAATGTGTTAAAAACTCGAGGTACAAATGCGAAAAAATAACCAAAATAATGTATGACTTTAATAGAACGGATTTCCGTTTTATGCAGGTATTCAAAAATTGTTGGTGTATACATCAAATAACCATATTAAGAAATTAAAGTTGCACAAAACAAGATATAATTATACTCGAATAAATAATGTTTAATCCACATATGTAGGAATAACCTTAGATGAACTTATTTTCGTATTAAATATCCACCTTAAATGTTCGATAAAGAGATTTATAATACATACCTTTTATTTATAATATCGGCAAGCGGAGAGTTAATTTTTTCTGTCATCATTTTTATGACCTTATTTAAATGTGTACGTCAGCTTTTTTAAAAGAACTTCATCAACAGATCAGCAATTATAAACAATATTTGTTCTGAAAAAATATTTAATATTATCATTTTAATAATGTTTTACATATATAGATGCAGCTTTCACATATATTTGATGTTTTAATATAATATTGTAAGTGAAATATTAATGCGGTCAAATACAAATACAACTGGTAGCCAAAACTAAACCAACTGAAATCGCAAACTGAATAAGTGACCTGTAAATAGGTAATTAATTCACTTTAGAAAACAATAAAAATAAACGCAAAAATTATTCTGAAACAAAAAATAATCTATCGAAAACTAATTGCATGGATAAAACTAAAGCAACATTTGGATTTTTTCTTATGAATAAATAAATTTTAGCTAGTAATCGATAGCATAACCATAATGCTTGGATATACCATTCTTCGCATCCTCAACAATCAATCATAAACAATCCGATCCATTACTTCATAAATCTCAATTTGATAATATTTCTTCACTGAGTTGGATTCGAAATATACGAGCTTTTGCGAAAGCCAATATGGCATGTAGATCTGCTAACACAGCTCGTCCACGCTCTGCTCTTGATGTTACATCCAACGATGACCCTCTCGCCAACTCTGCTATGCAAATTTGTTGAACTTATAGCGAGAAATCACGGATTTATTTATGGAATATTTTTCCAAAGTAATTTTCTGTTATAAAATATTTTCATAATCAGGGGTAATTGGCTGTTTTATTATTATTTTTTGCAGTAACTTAAAATCGAAAACAGACACATATTATTGTAATAAAATTCATTTTTTATTATCTATAAGAAAGAATCGAAATAGGTTTAGACACCAAAGCATGGTAAAAAAAACCACAACTTTAGAGCTCATTTGTTTGTACAATAGAGTTAGTTTTGTCCAAGCAAAAACTGATCAAAATTAATTTTGCATTTATGCTTTTGTTTTTTTTTAGTGAATAAAGTACCCGATTTAAAACAGAAAAAACCAAAACGATATTTATATTTGTGAAATAGTTATACGAATTTTATTAACATTGGAATTTCTGTTGCTTTAGTTTTGGCCACCACTTTATATACAGTTTAAGAAATAATAAGAGAAATAAAAAGGCACAGCATTTATCTGTTATTGGTTGGTGGTTATTAAGGAATATACCGAACAAACAACTGTAGCTAAAATACAAGGATTTTGACAAACGATAGCCCAGAGGACATATAATTAACAAAGGTAAATTACAAAGGCTTTAAGATTGATACTTTTGATATAAACGTATGATATTTTCATGACAATCATTACAATTGTATAACATATGGAATATTGTACTGAAGCCAACAACGACTCTTTAAGAACTTAAGGGTAACTTGAGGCCAAAGTTTATATTTTAGAAGACAAACTTTTCACAATGTTTCAAAATTATCTTTCGAACTGAAAAGAATAAGTGTTGGTATTTTAATGAGTCGCGTATTTACAATGTTTTGATTGCTTTAAGATTGAGTAAATATGGGGTATGATGTGATATAAAGTAACAAACGTGACTGCAGCGAATCGTAATTTATTTAAACTTTGTTGGCTTCCAGGCCATAGAGACATTAAAGGGAATGAAATAGATGACGAACTCGATATGACTCACAGTTGATCGACAGCCCAGCCGATGCCACTGTTAAACTACCACGTAGCTACTACATTAACTGAAATCGCAATACCTGCATAGAGAAACTGGTGTGAGATGGTTTGAGATACTTGGATGTAGAATCTGATAGAAAATTTTTTGAGAGATGTAAGACGATGTGTTGCCAATGCCAAACCAACAAGAAAAGCCGAACTATGGGATGTAGTTGAAGAAACATGGGCCGAGATATCAGAGCAGCAACGTAAGGACCTTTTCAACTATATTCGAGCCGTTGCGATGCTATAATTAAAATAAGGGCTTTACAAAAAACTATGAAATAAGCCAAAGTTATACGTGTATCAAAATATTAGTAGTAACTTAACTTTTTTTTTGAACTTTTATTTTTTTAATAGAAAATATTTTTTTCGCAATATATGTGTTGAAGATAAATAATAGAAATAAAACAAATTATTTGTGCAATTTAGTTTGAAAAAATTAAGTGTTTTTAAAATTTTTTACAGAAGAGTACGACTATTTTATTGAACACAGCTATATATATATATATATATATATATATAACGGTAATTTATTTTAATTTCCAAAATATGGTCGCCTAACATAAATGATTTATTTAGTGGTATTATTTGTCTGTCTTTGCGTATTCCGATGATATCCCACTCCTTTTTTAAGGAGATTTTGTGTTTCTGGATGTTTTTAAAAATTCCATTGATTTTACTTTTAGTTTGTTGGTAGATTGATGACCTTACATGGCCTAAAAACACTAAAAATTGGTTACATTTCAGTTTCCATCTATAAATTATATTATATAACAATTTAGCATTTGATGCTCATGTACGTTCGGTTTTCTCCAAGGTATTTTTTATACAGCCTTAATCTGGAATAGGATTCGAATTTTCGAAAATGGTGGTTGAAAAAGATTCGTGTGCCATAGTGTAATTTAAGTTGTAATGTGTGTTGCCCCATTGTAATTTAATTTTGTAATATTTTCATATCAATATTTTATTTATTAATTTTCTTTTTTACATTTTTATATTTTGTTGTTATTTAAACTTTACAACAATAGCTCTGTCTGTTTACTCGATATTTGGTAACAATTGTTACCAAATGTTACTAAATGTTGTCTGTTTACCCAAAAATCCAGTAAAAGAGAGTCAAGTGAGAGAGCAAGTTTGACAGTTCAACAACAACAAACTTACTGGAGTTTACTGAAAGAATTTTATGCAGTAAGATTTTGCAGACTCAGCCAATTTCGGATCAGCTGTTTTATGACCAAATACAACAATTATTCAAAACATATTTTTAATTTACAAAGTTCAATTTCACGTTAAGTTGTATAAAAATTACAGAAAATGGAAGAAAATTCGTAAGTAATGCAAAGATTCATTAAAATAGAAACTAATTCCTTATATATTTTTAGGCAAGTTCCAGATAGAGGGCAATGTATTGATGCAGGAAGCTTAAATGTTCCCTGGGAACATACCAAATCAAATTTTCTTTTATTATTCATTTTATTTTTAATATTAAATGCAATACAAAAAATTGTGTTCGTCCTTTGTTTGTTGTTTATTTTGGCGCAAATCAAATGTTTTCTTGAATCAGCTGCTTATTTGCTAAATCTTACTAAATGTTGTCTGTTTACTTTTTCAGTATTATCGCAAAAGAGAGTAAAAACGGCTTACTCTCTGAAATAGAACTTACTGAATAAATGTTACTGGAAAAGTAACCAGACACACCTAATTAAAAAATGTGAAATATCAAAAATCCGCTGTAAAACTGTTTTGTAATTAAAAGAAAATATATTAAAGTTAGAACAAATCGCAACATACAACGGCATGTAAAACAGCTGGTTTATTGTGTTGATGCAATTTGGTGCAACAACTACAACAGATTACAAATAAAAGCAATAGAACGAAGTCAAAGACACAACGAATAATGGGAAAATCTGAGATTTCATTATTTCACTACATAATTGTATGCCTTTTTATTTAATTTCGATATTTTATCTCCACAAATTTTTAAAGCGGCCAATAATTTTATGATTTCGTCCTTCAAATCATGCATTCGATAAAATTGAAAGAAAACATTAGCTTTATTATTGTTCTTTCATAATTTTTATTTGAGTTTTTCACTGTTAAGCAGCTCATCAGGCAAATTTGGCTATGTGGATCATATTCGGCTAAAATATTTCCTATTGCCTTTATACATTCTGTAACAATATTTGCTTGAGCATGCATTGTTATCAAAAGGATTTCCAATGGCATTTAATTTGTTGTTTTTGAGTTAAAAATATGCATACAACCATTTATAATATTCAAAATGTCATCATATTCTCCCACTGTCTGTAATCCCGTTTCCAAGACGGAGGGGTCTACGATTCGAAACGACCCGAGTCTTAATCTGCCAACATCTGTCACCTCAGCCCATTGTGTAAAAGCAATAGGGCTGCTACAACAACAACAACAACTGTCTGTAAATCCAGAATAACTAATTCTTCCCCAAAGCGAATTTTTGCGCTTTCGAACTTAATTCAGAATAAGAGAAAAATGAAAATGAGAAAAAAAATCGCGAACAAATTCACGGGAAGAGCGAACAAATTCACGGTGAATTGATGTCCAGAATAAGGCTGATACTCTATGGACATTGTCTTCCCTCGAATGGTGAAAATTCGGGTGGTGCATGCGCCATTAATGCCAACATTTAATTTTTTGTAAAGATAGCTCGAATTGTTCATATTCTGCCTCCCGTTCTTAAAATTTTTGGCTTATGCATGCGTAATTTTCTCATGAAATTTGAATACATTTATTGATTTTAGATTGCAAACCGGGATTTTTATTTTTTTATTCATATGTCTGTCATAACGTTTATATTTAACTTTTAATAAATTATTGTCAGTAGTGTAGTCTAAGTGCAATAGACAATATTTAAACCCTTTTTATTTATATGTTATTATAGCTAGTTTTTAAGTTTTTAGAGTAGTTTACATTATTGCTGTATTGTGTAAATCAATGGTCAAATGGACATTGTTACTATAACTCTAAATAAATAGCATTTCGTAATGTTGTAGTTAATATTGGCACATCGTAATATATGCACAATACAAATATAACGTCCCATTATTGGTTTCATCGGTCAATTTATTCAGATATGGTCAATTCGATTTTAATGTTGCATATATATTACTCGGCCCCGATGCATAGACTCCAACTTTGCAGACTTGTTAACGCTTTGGAAAATAGCAAATGTACATTATAGACAAATTAGTCTTAGACTTTGATATAATAAAAAATTTATATAAATAATCAACGATTGGTATATCGACGCCTCCGAACCATAGTATGCTAAGTTTGAAAAGTGAGTTTTTCAGTAGAAGCTTTCAAAGTATGGAAGTTTCTTTAATAGTACGTGCAATGCTAAGTACATTTTTGCTTATAACT